ACACGTGTTGTTTTTTTTATTTCACTACGAAAACGGGGAGAGTAAACTAAAGTGCTACTGAGAGGAAACGGGTGGCGAACGTTAACCACATCCCCGTGAATTTATTTTAGCACTTGAAACTGTCCCAACAAACGCATCACTCACCTTGACTTCGTCCCGGAGGTTTTTATTTGTCCCACCGGCGGGAGAAGTTGTCTCCAGGTTGTTGATAATCCGTTATTTCGGTAGGGGTGGTTAGGGAGAGGGTTTTCCTCGCTCCCGTCCCTCTCCACTTCGTTCGCACTCACATCAGACTATTCCTACTACTTCCCACCCGCCCGCCTCCCCACATCCAGCATTCCAACATGGCTGCTGCAGGGAGGGAGCGACGCGCATTAGCCATGTAAGGCAGCCCGTTGTAGCATATAATCATACCACATGTTTGGACCTTTTTATCAATCCACAGCTTATCCGGAGTCGGGTCGCGGGGGAGGCAGACTAACCCGAGAAGCCCTGACTTCCCTTTCCCCAGCCACTTGGGCCAGCTCTTCCGGGGGAATCCCAAGGCATTCCCTGAGCAGTTGATAGTCCCTCCAACGGGTCTACCTTTGGGTTTCCTCATGGTTGGACGTGCCTGGAAAACCTGACCAGGGAGGCATCCAGGAGGCATCCTAACTAGGTGTCCGAGCCACCTCAACTGGCTCCTCTCGATGTGGAGGAGCAGCAGGTCTACTCCGACCCCCTCCCAGATGACCGAGCTTCTTACTCTATCTCTACGGGAGAGCCCAGCCACCCTGCGGAGAAAACTCATTTTGGCTGCTTGTGTCTGCGATCTCATTCTTTCAAAGCTTGAGAGCACAGGTGAGGGTAGGAACGTAGATCGACCGGTAAATTAAGAACTTTGCCTTCCGGCGCAGCTCTCTTTTCACCACGACAGATTGATACAACGCCAGCATCACTGCAGATGCAGCACCAATCTTCCTATCAATTTCACGCTTCATCCTTCTCTCACTTGTAAACAAGGCTTAGAGATACTTAAACTACTGCACTTGAGGAAGGACCTCATCCCTGACCTGGAGAAGGCATTCTACCCTTTTCCAACTCAAGCCCATGGTCTCATATTTAAAGGAGCTGATTGTCATCCCACCTGCTTCACATTCAGCTGTGAACCGCTCTAACAAAAGCCGGAGATCACAGTCTGATGAGGCCAGGAGGACAACATCATCTGCAAAAAGCGTAGAACTGATCGTCAGGCCACTGAAACAGATCCCCTCAACACCTTGGTTGCACCTAGAAATCCTTTCAGAAAAGTTTTGAACAGAATCGGTGACAAAGGGCAGTCTTGGCAGAGTCCAACTCTCACCTTAAACGAACCCGACTTACTGCCGGCAAGGTACACCAAGCTCTGACATCAGTTGTACAGGGACCTAACAGTACCTTTTTTTTTTTTTACAAAGAAGTTCATTTAATTTCACCTGTTTGCTAATAAAGTGGAATCTCATCTATTGTTTCTTCACAAAACCAAACTTATCCTTGAAAATATTTAAAATTACATTTTACTTTATTGAAAAATAAACAACTAAATTAGATTTTAACTTGTCACATTATTATCGACTGTAATTACACTGTTATTGTTTCCCACTCTGTACACAAATTCATATAACTGATGGTTTTTACACTGTACACTTCTAAAGTACTAAATTATGGCAAAGTTTTCTTTTAATTATATACAACGTTCATTCTGGAGAGAATTCAAGCTTGAGGGTGGATGAATTTTTAAATGATAAATTGGCTTGCCAACACTACCAGAGGGGAAGGAGGCAGGAAAAGGCAAAGAAAACAGCAGGATATGAATGAATGGATGTTCATAATACTTTAAAAAATCTATCTCATTTTAGTTAGTAACAGTTCTTTTTTTTTATTCATATTTTTCTTGAATGGCTCGTTTTGTTTTTTTACACTCGTGGAAAAATGTTGTTTATCCACTGGTTATACAAAATAGCTTTGGATTATGACATAAATAAAATAAAATTTACACTTTGCAGAGAAACTGGATAAATCTGTTTATGTTATCAGAGAAAGTCAATAGCAGTTTAAAAAATAAGTGGACATTTTGACTTATTGTTATTACAGTGAAAAACTCTAAACTACATTTTACTTTTGTGAAATAATAGCTACTTTCATTTACTTTATCAGATAAAAAAAGATACAGGCCAGAAGTTAGCTTTTAAAAAGGGAACAACATAATCTCACAACCAGTGACAGTAGAAAAATATCACAACAACACATTTAAAAGAAAAGACAGAAACTTTGTCGTTTTTAAACGTTTTACTTTCAAGTTCTTGAAATTACAATTTAACTTTGCAATCAAACAATTTAGGAAGAAATCTGAAGTTTTGAAGCCTAAAGAGGTCTGAGCGATAAACTAACTGCTCCTTCTGCTTGTTTGCTATTGATATTTTAATAATTAATCTACTTATAAGATTATTTCCTCTGAAATAAAATTTTTATCTTTAAAAAAATGAATATTTAACCAAATCCTCTAAATGTTTAGTCAAGTATTTGCAACAACAGTAACTTTTACTAAGTAATTAAAGCTCAAATGTCTGTCCTCTTCATCAGTGTGGTCAACAGCGACATCTAGTGGTCATTTAATACCACGACACTTTGTCTTTTTATATCTGAAATAGAATAAACCCATGTTGCAGAAAACATATTATTAGAGTTTTTTAATGAAGTTTTATTTATTCAGCCTGCACTCCACTCTCTAAAACGGATCATATTTATTAAATAAAGGGATCAAAAACATAAGGTGAATGTGTCTTACAGATTTTGCAGGATTCCATGGTACACTTGTTGAGTCTTTTTTTAATGATGTTTAAGATTTTTGCGATTATTAATGATCATTTTCAAACAAAATTTTTTATTTAGCTGGTGTTTGGTTTGTGCATATGTTTAAAATCCAAGCTTTAACTCCAGAGATTAATGGAGGCGATTACGTGAAGAAAACTGCTTCGGCATGGATGCTGCAGCTGCATGTGTGCAGTCATCAGTAATTTGCATTCTGGGATTTTGCTGTAATTAGGTCAAAGCACATTTTAAAACTATTTAAACAATTCTAAATGAAAAACATCAGGAAATTAAAACAGTAAAAAAATCTGAGGTTTAGGCCACAAAGGTACATTTTAACTGTGAATTATATATATATATATATATATATATATATATATATATATATATATATAAGACTTGCAAAAGCCTCACATTAGGCCTAATGCAGACTGTTTTTTGGTGCAGATTATTCTGGGGCAAGTATGTCAAATTACATACATGTGCAAACCCCCATTGAAAAACAACAATTGTTTGACATAATGAAACATTATGAGACAAAACAAAAAATATGAATGCATTTCTTTTATAACTGTGAAAGACTTGTTGGGCGAGTATTCTAATCCAAAACATCCAGGCTGCATTGTCTCAGACTCTTCATGTAATCTGCCTTAATCTGCATCAAACACAGTTTCTTAATCTCTATTTTTTGAATCTGCAGCTGGCTCCCCAATTCACAGAACTGGAATTTTATATTCAAATTCAAAAAAAACTTTAATCATCCCCGAGGGGCAATTGTTTCAGTACAGACAGTTCCTACATCATACATACATAGACACATGACGAGAATTGGTACTGTGGTCATTCGCAACAAGAGTCGCGCTACCGTTATAGATCAAAGAGGGTTTATATGAGGGTAGAGTCAGGGAGAGGGGACAAAGGCACTTCAGAGTTACCCCCGACAGAGAGGATAGCTTTGCTATGCAAAAAAACACCTCAGACGAATATGCACACAGACTTCAGACAATACACAACATAAGTGTCCACTAGGTGGGGAGGGAGGGTTCTGGGACTCTCCTCACTTCAGAGTGCGCAGCCGCAAGAGCAGCGCTCACTCACCACCTCCATTTGGACAGGGGAGGGCGATTATTGGGGTAGAGAGCACATTAACTCCTAGATACGATTCTATGGCCTTCACCGGTCACAGTCCCGCCCAGGCTGGGATAGGGAGAAAGAGTTTCCATGGCGACAGCAGCATTCCACATTTCTTCTGAGGGGAGTTTACACTTCAGCCTCACAGGCTCCAAGGGCACCAGATTCAGATAGCAATAATTGTTTTGGGTACAGGCAGAGATAAGTTCCTCTCTGCCTTAGAGTTCTGTCGGTCTTCAACCCCTCCAGATCCAATAATGGCGTTATCAAACTATTCCAATCTGTGCTGATCCGTCAACTCTCTCCTTGATCGAATCCACCTTCTGTGCCAGAGCCTGAATCTCAGCCAAAGTTCCAAGCTTACGACTCATCTCGACAGTTAGCTGAGTCTGAGTTTACAGCACAGTGCAGTCCATCCCTGAGCTCCGGGATTAAGGCTCCTCGAAAGCTTGTTAATTTTCCGGTATGCCAGGTAACCGCTCAGGCCAGACAGCAGAAATCCCGACACCAACGCAACGAATATCCAGACATCTTCAGAATCCTCTACTGACAGTTGAGACAGGCAGATCAGGTTCCACTGTTTCCAGGAGTCCATGATATACCCAGCTGGCATAGAGGAGGAGGAGAAAAAAGTGTCTGTACTCTCCAAGAGCCGGAAGAAGTTATGTGCTCAAGTTGTGTGTGTGTGTGTGTGTGTGTGTGTGTGTGTGTGTGTGTGTGTGTGTGTGTGTGTGTGTGTGTGTGTTTGTGTCTATGAAAAGGTTTCTGAGAGTTTTATAATTAGCAGATTAATCTGCAAGTTATAATCGAATCATAAATCAATTGGGATATAAAATAAATGAAGTCATACTAGCTTTTCTAATTTATTCTTTAATTTGACATGAAAAAAGTGGCCAGTGTTACTTTCCTGTGTACTTTGTCAACATAAAAAGGTGTGTTATACTATTTGTACTCCAGGGGGTGCTATTGTAGCACTTTTACACATCTTTTTCCAACGTGATTCTTTTATTTTGAAAATTGACCACAGGAAATCAATCTTAACAATTTCCTTGCTAATTTTGACAATCTAGCGGTAAACTTGTCTTTGTGTCTTTTTCCACAGACATTAGTGTGTGCGCGTAACTTTGGAATCTTATCGTACAGTAAAATACCGAACGGACAGCTAACTGGAGCTACGTTAGCTAACTAAGCACTCGTCACCGTCTATCTGGTGGAAATGATCGAGTAAACTTAAGGTCAGTCGCTGGTTTGATTTGAAATGTTCTTTTTTTGCTCAAAGTTTGCTTATTTGCGACAGATTATAACTTGTTTGGTTAAGTTTTGAATGGAAACACCCGTCAGCAGTGGGACGCGTAAAGAAAATTGATTAATTTCATAAAAACTAGTTTCCGAATTAAGTTTCTTGGTAAATAAATAAGTGTTTCCTTGTTTTCTCGACAGCTAAGAAAATGTACGATAAAATAGAAACTTGAGAGGCAACAACTTGTATTTTTAGCATTATAAAAATGCACTGGTGTTGGTGGATTTTGTGGGTTAAAGAAGGAAATAATTAATAACCGAAAAATGGCTGCGTCTTTTTCCTGCAGGATTTCTACATTTTAGCCATTTTAGCTAATCTTCTTCTTCAGCAGCAGCATCTTGGTATTTTCTCAGAATGCAAAGCTAAGGCACATTTTCAAAAAACAAACAAACAAATGATTAGCCCCTGAGAATTAATACTAATTATAAGTAACACTTTACAATAAGGGTCCCTTTATTAAACTTACTTAGTGCATTGTTAAGCATTAATAAACCATAACGTTTTAACGACTGCTAATAGTTAACAATATTGGGAACGTGAACAAAGGGACATCTGTTTATTAATGCTTAATAATGCATTAAGTGACATTAATAAAGGGGCCCTTATTGTAAAATTTTACCATTTAGTGTGTTTTGAGTCAGCTGAGCAACACAAATCACTCAAATAAATCCCTGAAATCATTTTAACTGACTTGTTAAATGGCTTTTGAACATTTACATGTCAGTTTCTGCCACTCTAACTTCTATAAAGCAACTCACCAGCGTGATGCTTATTTAAAGCAGGTGACTGCAATAAAGCTTCGACAGAAATGAGGCCAAACTTGTTTGTGGAAGTCTTTCTGGATGTCCTACCTCCTCAAAGGTGCACGCCCAAATCGGGTCTAAAGTTTCATGTATTTATTTATTTATTTTTGACTTTGTGTTTATCTTTGCACATTTTCTTCAGAATGCAGCTGAATCTTTTGGTTAATGTTCTTCTGGGTTTGCATCTGTTGTTAATCAAATGTGCATGTAAAGCACGTCAGTGCAAGAAACTGTTTACTTGTGTGAAGAGTTTATGTGTTGCGCCCGTGTCATCAACTGCACACACAGTCTACTAAATAAGAGGTTTTCAGGGTTATAAATGACTCCAGTGTGTGTGTGTTGCTCCGTGACACAGCAGGGCAGTAAGTCAGAGTCCGGAATGGCCTGGAGACCAAGAGAATGAAAGAAAGAAGGGTGAAAAAGTGTGTCAAAGGTGAAGGAAGAAGAGAAAACTTTAAAATAAAAGAGGATATTTGAAAATCAATAGTAAATATTTGACATTTATGCATGAAAATGTCATTTGTAAGAAACTAGAAACAAAATAAAGCTGAAAGCACTGTAAATTAAAAGCTGTGCCACCATAGACACTTTAATTAGAATAGAATAGAATAGAATACTTTATTGTAATTGCTCATGGCAATTAAATTACAGATGGTCCGCCATCAACAGTGCACAAGACAATAAATATCAAAACCACAGAGGACTAAAACTATTTAAAAACATTTAGCAAACATCAAGAAAGTGCAGTGCAACCAGTGATTCAGATCTGCTAAAACAACAATTGAAAAGGATTTAAACCAGATGAGTCCACATTACTGACGGGGATGTGGGGGTTAAATGGTGCTGTTGTGTTGAATGTTCTGATGGCCCAAGGGAAGAAGCTGTTGGAAAGTCTGGTGGTATGTGATTTAACTGACCTGAAGCGGCGCCCTGAGGGCAACAGGTCAAACAGGCAGTGGGCAGGGTGGGTGGGGTCACGGAGGATAGCAACGGTTCTCTTCAGGCAGCGGGTTCTGGAGAAGGCCTCAAGGGATGGCAGGGTGCAGCCAATAATCCTCTGGGCAGTGTTTATTGTCCTCTGAACAGCCTTCCTGTAATCAGCAGTGGAGCCTCCATACCACACACTCAGAGAGTAGGTGAAGGTGATCTCCAGTGGTAGAAAGCCAGCAGCAGTTTCTGATCCAGGCCACACCTTCAATGCCTGGAGAAAGTGCAGCCGCTGCGGAGCCTTTTTAACCAGAGCTCTGGTATTAGCAGACCAGGACAGGTCAGCAGAGATGATGGTGCCCAGGAACCTGATGGAGGGGACACATTCCACATGCTCTCCATTTATGAGGAGAGGGGCGTGTGTGTGACTGTGTCTCCTGAAATCCAGAATGAGCTCTATTGTTTTTTGTATATTCAGAGTGAGGTTGTTATCTGAGCACCACCTTGACAGATTACAGATCTCTGCCTGGTATGCTGCCTCATCTTCGTCTGTGATGAGGCTGACCACAGTGGTGTCATCAGCAAACTTGAAGATGGCAGTGGATGGGTGGGATGCAGTACAGTCCGATGTGTACAATAGGGGGCTCAGCACACAGCCCTGAGGAGAGCCAGTACTAGGGTTGTCACGGTAACCGGTGTAGCGGTAAACCCCGGTAAAAAAGTTGACAATAATAATAACCATCCTGTTTTTAAAAAACTATATTATCTCGGTGGGTTTACCGTGGCTGCGGTGTAGGCATGGTGACCCTTACCAGCCACCGTATCATCTGCTGAAGTTGCCGGCGGCACATGCGCACTTTGTTGTTTACAACCAAAACTTTCTTGAAGCTAAAGCTGAAATAATGGTCAAAGGAGGAGACGGCAGCGCTCAGGACATTTATTATCCCTCAAAGAAGACAAAGTGGGAAGTACGGGCATTTTTTTTGGATATTTGAAAAATGCCAAGGGACAGTTGATAGAAGACGTCTATCCTGTTTGCAGCATGTGCAGAAAAAGTGTCTGTGAAAGGCAGCAACGCTTCAAATCTCATGACACATCTGCGTGACCATCACCCACAACTCTACAGTCAACGCAAGGCAAGCTAACGTTAGCGTTTTAGCTAAAATGCGTGATCCGAGGATTTGGGTTGAGGGAGAATGCAACGAGTCGCTACATAAAGCAGCCGCAGCGCCGCTACCTGCATATAAACCGTGTCGCGGACACCCCCATGTTGAAATGACGCTATGCATTACGGGGCTCCCAGGGGCAGATAAGAGTTGGTCTCTCTCCGAGAATAATTATGAATTTAACAATGATTACTGCCTGATGAAATTTTCCCAAATCTGCAAAGCTCACTGGAAGGACACAAACCGAGGACAATATTTTACTGATATAGGGTTTATTACTCAAGTAAGGGTAAAAGGGTATCTGATTAGAAGGCTACTTGAGTACTGAGTATCATCTGATCTAATATTTTTAAAATGATGACATCAAACAGACAAAAAATAAGAAGTTATGGGCAAATATTGGTATTTTAAAGACTAAAGGGGAAAAATGTAAACAAATAAACAACATAATTACAAAATAACACATTTTAGGCAAAATTTAGACACAAACTGAGGACAATATTTTCCTGATATACAGGGTTTATTTAATTGTGTGAAAATGTAGCATGTTTAAAAAAAATACCGCGATAATACCAAAAACCTTGATAATTTTGGTCACAATAACCGTGAGGTTAAATTTTCACACCGTGAGAACCCTAGCCAGTACTGAGCAGGGTAGGGTTGTCACGGTAACCGGTATAGCGGTAAACCCCGGTAAAAAAGTTGACAATAAAAATAACCGTCCAGTTTTTAATAAACTAAATTATCTCGGTGGGTTTACCGTGGCCGCGGTTTAGGCGCGGTGACCCTTACCAGCCACCGTCGCTTCAGCTGAAGTTCCCGCGGCGCGCACGCGCACTTTTTAGTTTGCAACGGCACCAAAACTTTGAAGCTGAAATAATGGCCGAAGGAGGCGACGGCAGCGCCCAGGACATCCATCAGCCCTCAAAGAAGACCAAATCGGAAGTATGGGCATATTTTGGATTTCTGAAAAATGCTGAGGGACAGTTAATAGAAGACTGCTATCCCGTTTGCAGAACGTGCAGGAAACAAGTGACTGCAAAAGGCAGCAACACTTCGAATCTAATGGCACATCTGCGTGACGATCACCCACGTCTCTACAGCCAGTGCAAGGTAAGTTAACATTAGCATTTTAGCTTAAATGCATGACGTGAGGACTTTTGATTGAGGGAGAATGCAACGAGTCACTACATACTGCAGCCGCAGCGTCCTCTGCCAGCATTTAAACCGTGTCACGGACACCCTGTTGCTGGATGAAGCATCTTATTTGTTGATGATGAAGAGAAATATACAATTAGTTCCTTGTCATTGATTTGTTCACTTATTCAATGCCATTTATACTTGGACATTTGGATTTGATTACATAGTGTAGTAGTTATTTTAGTAATTTGTTTAAAGAGGCTATTTATTTTAACTACATATTTTTTAAGGTTGACTTGTACAGTGCTCAAGTCAAGTGTGGACTGGAGTTTTAGATTTTCATTTTGATAATGAAGAAAACAAGTATATGAGAAAACAAGTGGTGTTTCTTTGATTTGTTTACATATTGTTTATGTTTTGAATGTTTGGATTTGTATAATTTAAACCTGCACTGACTACTGTAACATGTTCCAGAAAAATAAGCTATTTGTTCCTTTACTTGTGAAAAGTTGCACTTTTGCTAAGGCTTTGTGTTATTTTAGGTTTAATAAACAATATTAAACCTTTTCTAAACTATTTCAGTTTGTGTAGAACAGGACTATCAATGCTTTCTGAACATATGCAACACCGTTTAAAAAATACCGCGATAATACCGAAAACCGTGATAATTTTGGTCACAATAACCGTGAGGTTAAATTTTCATACCATGACAACCCTAGAGCAGGGTGGAGGAGGAGAGATGGGAGCCAAGTTGAACATGCTGTGGACGATTTGTGAGAAAGTCTTTTATCCAGTGGCAGGTGGAGGGAGGGATCTGAAGGCTCAGCAGTTTTGAGATAAGAATGTCTGGGATGATGGTATTGAAAGCTGAACTGAAGTCAACAAAGAGCATCCTGACGTAGCTTCCCCTGGTCTTTAGGTGGCTCAGTGTTGTGTGTAGCGTCAGGGCGATGGCATCCTCTGTTGATCTGTTTCCCCAGTAGGCAAACTGAAGGGGGTCGAAGGAGGTGGGGAGACAGGTTTGGATGTGGTTGGAGATAAGTCGCTCCAGACACTTTGTGGTTACAGGTGTGAGGGCAACTGGTCGATAATCATTTAAGCTGTCTATGGAAGATCTTTTGGGGATGGGAATAATTGTTGCAGACTTGAGGCAGCTTGGGACTGAAGCATGAGACAGGGAGAGGTTAAACAACTTGGTGAGGATACCTGCCAGCTCACTGGCACACTCCCTGACCACGATCCCCGATATGCCGTCTGGTCCAGCAGCTTTCCTGGGGTTTACTGCTCTCAAGGGGTAAAAGTGGGTGGGCAGTGGTTTCAAAACGAGCAAAGAAGTTGTTTAGCTCCTCTGCCTGTGTTCTGCTGCTGCCAGTGTTGGACAGAGTGTGGCCTCTGTAGTTGGTCAGAGTCTGAATCCCCTTCCACATCTTCCGGGGGTTGTTGCTGTGAAAGAGGTCTTCTATTTTCCTCCTGTAGACTCTCTTTGCCTGGTGAATGCCCTTCCTCAGACTAGTTCTGGCTATGCGGTACAAGTTGCTGTTACCTGACTTGAAGGCAACATTGCGGGCTCTGATTAAAGCCTGGACCTCTGATGTCATCCAGGGCTTCCTATTTTCCAGTTTGGTCACTGATATTTTCTACACGAGTTCTGATGTAGGATAGCACTGTCTCTGTGCGTGCCTCCAGGTCCTGTTGTTCAAACACTCTCCAGTCTGTGCAGGCAGAGCAGTCCTGTAGCTGAGGGAGGGCTTCAGCAGGTAAGGTGGTGATGGTGTGTGTTGTGGGCTTTGTTTGTTTCCTGAGGGGCAGTGTAAGCTGGGATGAGAAACATGGAGAGATGGTCAGACTGTCCAAGATGGGGAAGTAGTTTAGCTCTATAAGCATGCTTGATGTTGGTATATACATGGTCCACTGTATTTTTACCCCGGGTTGCAAACTTGACATGTTGGTGGAGTTTGGGGAAAACAGTCTTTAAGCATGTTTTATTGAAGTCCCCAGCTATTATGTGTACCCCATCTGGATGAGCCTGCTGCTGTTTGGTTAAAAAGTGATGAAGCTGTATGAGTGCAGCGCTAACGTTAGCATTAGGTGGGATATAAACAGCAGTAGCAATGCTGCAAATAATCAGCAAACAACAATCACAAATGGTGTGGTTGTAAGCAAGCTGTGATGGCGACCGGCTGGTCTGTCTATCTCAGGAGGAATATTGTATGTCCTGGTGAATTCAACTGTTACTTTAGTATTTAGCTGAGATTCGATGGCCAGTATCTCCTGGGGTGAGTAATAAGTCCATGGCAGAAGTGGGCTGATAAAAGAAGACAACCTAAAAGACAAACAATTGTGCCTAGTTGCTGGGAGCCATGAGCCGCTGCATCCGTGCGCGCCGCCATCTCTCTGGAATTAATCCTGTTACAGATCTTATTGATGATTATAAAGATGAGAGCTGAAGGGACCGTGGGAAAATGGAATAATCTTAAAAAAAGGATTAATTTACGATAACTTGGATTATTTTACAGTGTGGTTTTGATGACTAAGTTGTTTCCTGCTCCGGTGACACAACAGCTGCCTGGAGTGATTTAGGATGTGTTTAGTTGTGATGCTGAGCACGATTGCATGCATCTGGAGGAAGTTGCACGCTGAGCTTTTAATCTGTTCATCATGGTCATAGTTTTTGTAAAGCTAACCAAGTCAGATTTCACAAGTGATGATTAGTTTCTTCTGTAAAAGCTGGTGGATAAATGACCTGTTTTATACGTAAATGTGGGATCTAATAGGTTTAAGTATAGATGCAACATCTCGTTATTATCCTCTCATGTGCAGCTCTGGCTACATTAACTCCACATGCTGTCTTCTAGGAGCAACCCTTTTTCCTTTTTATGCTGCACAAATACAGTGGGGCAAAAAAGTATTTAGTCAGCCACCGATTGTGCAAGTTCTCCCACTTAAAATGATGACAGAGGTCAGTAATTTACATCATAGGTACACTTCAACTGTGAGAGACAGAATGTGAAACAAAATCCATGAATTCACATGGCAGGATTTTTAAAGAATTTATTTGTAAATCAGGGTGGAAAATAAGTATTTGATCACTTCAGACAAGGAAAATCTCTGGCTCTCACAGACCTGTAACGTCTTCTTTAAGAAGCTTTTCTGTCCTCCACTCGTTACTTGTATTAATGGCACCTGTTTGAACTCATTATCTGTATAAAAGACACCTGTCCACAGCCTCAAACAGTCAGACTCCAAACTCCACTATGGCCAAGACCAAAGAGCTTTCGAAGGACACCAGGAAAAGAATTGTAGACCTGCACCAGACTGGGAAGAATGAATCTACAATAGGCAAGCAGCTTGGTGTGAAAAAAAATCAACTGTGGGAGCAATTATCAGAAAATGGAAGACATACAAGACCACTGATAATCTCCCTCGATCTGGGGCTCCACGCAAGATCTCATCCCGTGGGGTCAAAATGATCATGAGAACGGTGAGCAAGAATCCCAGAACCACACGGGGGGACCTGGTGAATGACCTGCAGAGAGCTGGGACCACAGTAACAAAGGTCACCATCAGTAACACACTACAACGGCAGGGAATCAAATCCTGCAGTGCCAGACGTGTTCCTCTGCTGAAGCCAGTGCATGTCCAGGCCCGTCTGGAGTTTGCCAGAGAGCACATGGATGATACAGCAGAGGATTGGGAGAATGTCATGTGGTCAGATGAAACCAAAGTAGAACTTTTTGGTATAAACTCAACTCGTCGTGTTTGGAGGAAGAAGAATACTGAGTTGCATCCCAAAAACACCATACCTACTGTGAAGCATGGGGGTGGGAACATCATGCTTTGGGGCTGTTTTTCTGCTAAGGGGACAGGACGACTGATCCGTGTTAAGGACAGAATGAATGGGGCCAAGGATCGTGAGATTCTGAGTCAAAACCTTCCATCAGTGAGAGCTTTGAAGATGAAACGTGGCTGGGTCTTCCAACACGACAATGATCCCAAACACACCGCCCGGGCAACAAAGGAGTGGCTCCGTAAGAAGCATTTGAAAGTCCTGGAGTGGCCTAGCCAGTCTCCAGACCTCAACCCCATAGAAAATCTGTAGAGGGAGTTGAAAGTCCGTGTTGCTCGGCGACAGCCCCAAAACATCACTGCTCTCGAGAAGATCTGCATGGAGGAATGGGCCAAAATACCAGCTACTGTGTGTGCAAACCTGGTAAAGACCTATAGTAATCGTTTGACCTCTGTTATTGCCAACAAAGGTTATGTTACAAAGTATTGAGTTGAATTTTTGTTATTGACCAAATACTTATTTTCCACCCTGATTTACAAATAAATTCTTTAAAAATCCTGCCATGTGAATTCATGGATTTTTTTTCACATTCTGTCTCTCACAGTTGAAGTGTACCTATGATGTAAATTACTGACCTCTGTCATCATTTTAAGTGGGAGAACTTGCACAATTGGTGGCTGACTAAATACGTCTTTGCCCCACTGTACCTCAAGAGAAAAAGAAATGATCTCATGTAATTAATGCGTGTCTGAAAATGCTGTTTGTTCTTTCTGGCAGCGTTGGAGGAGATGGCAGAGCTCCCGTCTGGTCTGCTGGAGGCGTGTGTAGTGGTGGGGGCTTCCAGTGATAAACTTCGGGATTTACATCACGTATGTAAACAAAACGGCAGCCTGATAACAAGCAGAGAATAACTTAAAATATGCAAACTAAAGGCAAGGCAGCTTTATTTGTACAGCACATTCATACGCAGAAGCAATTCAGTGTGCTTTCCCAGGAGCAAGAACATAAAACATTCAAATCAACGCGACAACAGAAAGCAGCTGATTATAAAATCTAATTAAAAAATGCACAAATAAAACTTGTCGTAAGATAAAAAGGCAAAGTTAAAGACTGAGCAGTTACAGCGCAGAAGGTGTGGCAGAAACGAGTGCTGCGTGTTTACTTCTGAAACAGGATTACTTTATTCATGTTTAAAGAGACAATGTGTGTTTTCCTTGGCGATAGGGGGCAGTACATACCTAAATCATTGCAAGCAAGCATTATTTTTGTGTTGGAGTAAGACCTTATCTATGAAAGGCCGTTAGGGTCAAAAATCCCAGGGAGCACAACCTCCAGAAAAATGACAAACACATCTGACTCCCTGGCAACAAGCAAAGAGGTAAATGTTTAAAACAACATTTATGAACGGCGAAAGTTTTTTATCCGCTTGGTACAAATCAGTAAATGCACTTTGTCCTCATGGGCTCCCGTAGAAGGAAACACGGGGTCTAATATGGCGTCGCCCAGAGATTAGACCCACTCTAATAAATTTTAGGCTCAATTTTTATGGTTATATGTTACAAAGTTGCCAGTATTTTTCAACAAGTGGGCATCATTTAGTTTTGATGGATATTTCCAGAGATTACTGCTATAAACTACACTTTGTCTCTTTAAGTGCTTTAGACACTATATTTAGCTAAAGTGTGTTAATTTGTGACAATAATTTTATTTTTATTTTCGAAAAAAATACATTTAATCTGCAATTTTTTCATTGTGTTTTACGTTGTCACAAAAACTACGTTTCCCATCATTTTGGTTTTGCAGATTAAGCTATATGAGCTCCCCCTGCTGGAAGCAGAGGTATTGCAGGTCCATGCACCGCCCTTTGTTTCCCGGGAGACCAACTCCAGCCACATGATTGGTCCAGCTTTCAGCCGTGTCCAGAGAAGAAAGAGCTTCATTAAAAAGGTCAGTAATTGATGTTTTTATTTTATTATTACATTACTTTTAAAAATGATTTCCACATTTCAGAAAGGTTTTGTGCTTTTTGTGGTTTGCAGAAGAGGCGAGATCGTGCTGCCGGATCACTTTCTAACGGAGAATCGAGTAGTCGGGATGAGGTGTCGTCAGCGACGGAGGACATCAGCGTTCCCAAGGATCTGGACCTCATCGCTCTGCCACAACTCTGCTTCCCTGGTACAGTTGCCTCTGCTGCTTTATTTAGCAGACATCGCACTTAGACAGGTTTTCTGCCTATATAGCTGAACTCATTCACTGCCAGCCGTTTCCTGATCGCTAACGGCCTTCGCTGCCAGCGTTTCTCACCGTTTTTACTGTTTTTTTTAAGAGTCACAGAACGTTGCTTGCTAGCATGATGTCGATGCCAAAACAAAGAGGAGACTCACCTCTTACATCAGGAAGAAGCCGCGTGTTTCGAGCGTTATCCGTTCTTTCATAATCTGTTGTCGAATTGTGATCGGCAGACGCTTTTCCGGTTCGCGCCTCACTTTTTTTTACAGGAACGGCCCAAAACGATCTCCTAACACATGGTTGGTCTGCTTCCTGATCATGTGATCTGTGACGTATGCGGATGAAGATCGGCTTCAGGGCTGAGATGTTTGTTCTCTCAGCGCGGGGGCTCGTTCCGACGCTCAAACAGTAAAAAAAATGCAAATGACGACTTTAGTCGTCATTGGCATTGAATGAGTTAATAACAGTCACAGCCCCTTGCATACCTTCTTATTTTATGTATCTACTCATCTTGTTTTCTTTGATTAGGTGGGCTTCACTTAGCTGTGGAGCAAAGGGACGATAGTTATCACTTCCTGGTTTTCACCGACCTGTTTGGCAACCGAACCCATGGAGTTGTAGTACAGTACTACAGATCTGTACAGGTACAGACACACATTTACACTCAATTAAAATGTGTTGAAGAAAATCTGAGTGGTTTTTTTTGTCCTCGCTGGCCCTCTGCTCTACTAGTCGTGTCTGGGAGATGGCGTCCAGAACGGCCATCGACGGAATTCAACAAAGTCCCGCCTCTACGTTCCCTTTGCCGTGTGCATCATATCCAAGTTTCCTTACTACAACGCCCTGAGAGACTGCTTGTCGTGGTAACGATTCATTTTAAACGCAAAAATGATGGAAACCCTTGTTGTGATTATCCTGACGAGTGTTTTCCTCCTCAGTCTGCTGGTTCAGTTACGGACGGCAAGACAGAGCGACTTTGATGAAGCGATCAAGGAGTTTTCCGCCAAACTGTCTCTTGTGCCGTTACCACCTCCTGGACAGCTGCATGTGGTCAGAAAACCTTCTTTCTCCTGATTGGAACGTTTACTTTTTGATGGATCTAAACCGTGATTCCCATCATCAGTCTTTCAGTCTCCGCCCTCTTCAAGTGGTCCTTCCATCCGCTGAGGATCAGGACGGTCCTGTTGTCGACATTGATCTTCATCTTCCACTTCTCTGCCTTCCTCCCACGGCTCTGCTCCTGGTAACGGAGAAAACAAACATATAAGACGAGATGAACTGTGGGGAATTAAGTATTTCCTTTGTTTTCCAGGTGCTCTCCTGCCTCCTCCAAGAGCAGAGGACGGTCTTCTTCTCCTCCGACTGGGCCAGACTCACCCTGTTAGCAGAGAGTCTGCTGTTATATCTGCAGGTTTGTGTAGAAACCATGTTGGGTGGCTTTTTGTTTAAAGGAATATTCTCATGCTGTTTATGTGTCTTATCTTCTCCCAGCCACTCTCCTGGCAGCAGCCTTATGTTCCTGTGTTGGCGAGAGGAATGCTGGACTTCCTCATGGCTCCTACAGCCTTCCTGATGGGCTGTCACATTAATCATTTTGAAGAAATCGCTGCTGTGAGTAAACCGGGGAGTGGCAGAACGTATTCTGGGGCTTTAGTTGTAGGTCGGTCAGCTCTGGTTCTGTTGTTCCTCAAAGAAAACACGACGCTCAATTATATAAATGTGAAAAAAGCAGCAATTTAAATGTACATCGTGCAAACCAAATAGTATTTGTCTTTAAAATCACATTCAAAAGTCAACAATAACAGCTTTTTTCCAGCTGTGTTCATCTTGCTGAGTTCATATTTTTACAGTAGCTCTTCGTTCTTCATGTCCAAGACCTTGTCTTTGTTGAATTGCACCGCCATCTTTGTATGCAGGAGACAGAAGACTTGATCCTAGTGAACGTTGATGAAGGCATCGTTCAGTCTTCTTGGTCTGAAACCATCGAGCTACCTACTATCCCTGCAGCTGCAGCAGAGTGCTTTACGTCAAGGTAGCACATTCAAACCGCTCTGCAGACTGTTGTCCTCTAGCTATGAGAAGATGAATCAACATTTTTTATTGTTTCATTATAAATAATTCAAGCTATAAAGTTTGTTTTATTCCCTAAAAAGCACAACAGAAGATGTACAGATGTGGTTTCTTTGTTTTGCTGAAATAAGCAACATCTGTTTTGAAAAAGGAATCTGTCTTTTAAAATAATGGTCCTAGAATTTAAAACCACATTTTCCTTGTTGCAGCGTTGGACGTCTAATCTAGCATACCTTAAAGGCTGCGCTGTGTGCGACCTACTTTCCTATGTAGTTAAGAGATGTAATCGCCATGGAGAAAAGCTGGTTTAAAACGTCATAAGCGTAGACACACGCACACCCTTTTTATTTATTTATTTATTTATCCATCCATCCACTTTCATCCGCTTCTCTGGAGTCGGGTCGCGGGGGCAGTAGCCTAAGGCGAGAGGCCCAGACTTCCCTCTCCCCAGCCACTTGGGCCAGCTCCTCCGGAGGAATCCCAAGGCGTTCCCTGGCCAGGTGAGAGACATATGGGCCATTCCCATCTGTGCCGGGTCGGCCCAGGCTGGGTAGCGTAGGTTGTTTACATATCTGGGTGGCCTTGTATTTTTCCGGGCCAACCAAGGCTCATTCTCAGCCCTCTTCTTGAGGGGGTCTGCTTCAGGCCGACCAGAGCCAACACACCCACTGCTGACAGCAAATTTGCGCCTTCCATTAGAGCAAGCCTCTGATTGGTGGGTAGAATCAGCCCACATGGGCTTAAGGCAAGGATGTGTGGAATCAACCGGGCCAGGCTGGGGCCGACTGGGGCTACCCGGCCCGGGTCGACCCGGTACAGATGGGAATGGCCCAATAGTCCCTCCACCGTGTCCTGGGTCTACCTTTAGGTCTCCTCCCAGTTGAATGTGCCCGGAAAACCTCACCAGGGAGGCGTCCAGGAGGCATCCTGACCAGATGCCCTAGCCACCTCAACTGGCTCCTCTTGATGTGGAGGAGCAGCGGTTCTACTCCGAGCCCCTCCCAGATGACCAAGCTTCTCACCCTATCTCTAAGTCTGAGCCCGGCCACCCCATGGAGAAAACTCATTTCGGCCGCTTGTATCAGCGATCTTGTTCTTTGGATCATTACCCAAAGCTCGTGACCACAGGTGAGGACTGGGCGGTAGATCGAGAGCCTGGCTTTCCGGCTCAGCTCCTTCTTCACCACAACAGACCGGTTCAGCATCCACATCACTGCAGACGCTGCCCCAATCCGCTTGTCGATCTCCCGCTTCCTCCGTCCCTCACTCGTGAACAAGACCCCGAGATACTTGAACTCCTCCACTTGAGGCAGGACCTCTCTCCCGACCCGGAGTTGGCAAGCCACACTTTTCTGGTCGAGAACCACAGTATCAGACTTGGAGGTGCTGATCCTCATCCCAGCTGCTTCACACTCGGCTGCAAACCTCCCCAACAAGAGCTGTAGGGCAGAGCCTGATGAAGCTAGGAGGACCACATCATCTGCATAAAGCAGAGAGGAGATTCTCCTGCCACCAAACTCCACACCCTCAACACCACGGCTGCGCCTAGAAATGCGTTATAAACGCCATGAGCAGGATTGGTGACAGGGCAGCCCTGGAGGAGTCCAACCCTCTCCGGGAACAGCTCAGACTTACTGCCGGCTGGGCGGACCAAACTCACACTTCTCTGGTACAGGGACTGAATGTTCCTTAGCAAAAGACCATCCACCTCATACTGCTGGAGTGCCCCCCACAGGTTGCCTCCGGGGACACGGTCATTTGCCTTCTCCAAATCCCCAGGGACTCGTTAAACTAAAGTGTGTCCTGTTATTAGAACCATGGCTTTCTTTGGCTTTAATTAGTCAGCCTGTCTCTTTAAAGTGTGAAAGGTAGTCACAGTGCTGTTGGGTCTCATGCTGTGTACTGATCATGGACCACAGAAAGATCGGGAGAGTTGTCTCAGGAGATCAGAAAGACAGTCATGGACCAGCATGTCAAAGGTAAAGGCGAAAAGACCGTCTCCAAGCAGCTTAATGTTCCTCTGAATATGGTTGCACAGATTAATCAGAAGTTTAGAGCCCAAGGGACTGTAGCCAACTTTCCTGAAGGTGGGCATTAGAGGAAATGTAGTGATCAGCCTAATAATGTAAACAGCACTTAATTAGGATCAAATAGAAGTGATCTGACACATTACTGGACTTGTGTGTGTGTGTGTGTGATGTGTGGTTGTTCAGAGCAGAGAGCCTCCAGCTTCACTACGACCTGGAGCTGTGCCACCTCGGAGCGGGCACCGATATCGACTCTCTTCGATTCCAACGCAGAGGCTGGCAGAGGAGTCTCAACTCCCAGATACAAAACATCGCCCTCGAGCTAGTGGTCAACATCTTCAGGTGAGTCTCAGCTAGTGGCCGATTTATTAAAAATGAACATTCTCCGAAATCACACGATGTGGTGTTTGTTCTGATCAGAGGAGTTCAGGACTTTCTAAACCACGAACACCGAGTCTTTAACAGCGAGGAGTTTCTGAGAACGAGGGAACCTGAAGATCAGCTGTTTTACAAGAAGGTAGCGATGAACATTCATAGAGATGGATACGATCACACACACACACACACACTCTCGGCAGGACCGTGACTTTTACCCTGTGCTGTTGTCCTCAGGTATTAGAAACTCATATCTTTCACTCATTCCTGCGAGACAGGCTGAACAGGAAACGGGACACCTTCAGTCGCATGGAGCAGATGACTCGTAACCAAGTGTCCAGGTACGATGATTTAGTGACACCATAGCCAGATGACAATAGGACCCAGGCAGCTGAAGACGAGAAAATTATAAGTCATGTACTAGTTTTCAGACAGAACACGCTAGGGGATATTTTTGTTGTTGTGCAATTTGTGAGCTGATGTGATTTCCTTGTACAAATGTCTGCTCTGGATTTATGGATGATCAGTCACTGAGCTTTCTGAAAATATTTGCTCTTTTTAGTCTTGGTCAGTAATTAGGTGGATTTGTTGAACTATCAACCAATCACCTTTGTTTTTAAAGTGCTTTCCATACTTTTCAAGATGATCCAGCCTGAACACAGCATAAAAACGCTGAACACACGATTGAGGCCTTACTTCCTCCAACATACAAGGAGTTACAGTAGTCCAGTCTTGAAGTAACAGAAGCATGGGTATGCGTGTTCAAAATTAGCTCTAGACAACATGGTTTTTATTCTAGACTGTCAACGTAATTGAAAGAAGTATGATCTCACACGCATTTATTTGCTCATCTGTTTTGAGGGACACATCTAATTCCATTCCCCAAGTCGGTAACAACCATATTCTCATGCAGGGCTAATGAAGAAAGGTCACAACAGTGGCTCCCTCTCACTGCTAGGTCTAAAGACCAACTCAGTTGGATTGGTAAATACACTTGGTAATCATCCACATACAGGTGGAATTTAAGGCCGTATTTGTGAAGGATCCACCCTAATGGCAGTAGGTAGACAGTAAACAAAGATGTCCAAGGATAGAGCCCTGTGGTACTACTTATTATAAAACTCTTTCTTTGAGCTTCATGTCACCATTTTTGTCCAGTCATGGTCTTAAAACGGTTCCCCAAATTGTCCCCCTGCAGGAATCGTGCAATGACGGAGTCTCCCCGCCGTCCTCCGATGTCCGAGATGTCCCGTAGTGGCTACAGCAGGTACACCAGTCCAGACCGTCGACTGAGCAAAAGACTGGGAGCCAGTCTGCCTAATCTGGACCAACCCATCCATGAAGTCCACAGTATCAACCCCAACAGATCTCAGTCCGTCTGCAAGATGACTCCTGATACGGGTCAGAACCAGAAATGAAAACCAAAATCTAAAAATTAGGAATCACTTGAATTGTTTTCATCTCTCTCCAGGGCTGAAGCTTTCTCAGAAACCTGTGAAGGTGTTTCAACTTCCGGAGTTCCCGCCACCGCTGGCCTACCACTATGTCCAGAATTATTACAACAGCATGGTCGCGTCTCTGAAGAAGGCTATCGAGATGACATCACCAGAGGAGTCTGCTCTGTTGGCCAGGTACTGAGAAGACGCAGAGCTGGAAGTTTTAGTGGTTCCTGGTATAACGAAGAGTCTATTAATGTGTGCACAGTAATGTACCAATGTACAGTAAGGATGTCTACTGCATTGAGCATTTATATATATGTATATATATGTATATATGTGTATATATGTGTGTATATATATATATATATGTATATATGTGTATATATGTGTGTATATATATATATGTATATATATATGTGTATATATATGTATATATGTGTATATATATATATATATATATATATATATATGTATATATATATATATATATATATATATATATATGTATATATATATATATATACACACATATATATATACACATATATACACACATATATACATATATATATACACACATATATATATACACACATATATACATATATATATACACATATATATGTATACATATACACATATATATATATACATATACATATATATATATATATATATATGTATATATATATGTGTATATATATGTATATATGTATATGTATATATATATATATATATATATATATATATACACACATATATATATACACATATATACACACATATATACATATATATATACACACATATATACATATATATATACACACATATATGTATACATATACACATATATATATATATATATATATATATATACATGTATATATATATATATATATATATATATATGTATATATATATATATATATATATATATATAGATATATGCTTTTCTGTAGATATTCTGCTGCTTCATTACTTTATGTGACATCATTAACTAGAACAACAGGACTTGTATTGGCTTTTTATTTTTTTATATCTTGATGTTTTACGGTTCGATGGTTTTAAAGAAACTCTTCTGTATGAAGATTACACGAATAATTGAACCACACCTCGCCGCTCTGTGTTCAGGTATCATTACCTGCGTGGTTTGGTGAACACCGTGTCCAACAAGCGTCTGGATGCCTTAGAGGACTTCCAGAGCCTCTACAAGACAGATGCAGAAATCTTCCCTTCGCAGATGGTCAAGTCTTTGGTTGCCTCCCTTTCAGAAGCGGAACGTTTACAAGTCAGTTAAGAGCAATAATCACGTTGCCTTCATTTATTTTAGTAAAACTTTAACAATAATGTAAAAGCTGTGTTGTGAATTACACTCAACTAGAGCCATTTAAACATTTTTAGATCAGTATTTGTAAAGTCAACTGATTTGTTGCAACTTTTGTGTTTGCAAAATTCAGTAGGCTGTGGTAGCCATCTTGAATTGGATTGACTCCAAAAAATGATCAGTGGAAGTTGTTCATCCAATGTTTACATTTACTAAGTTTCATTAAAAGCTGTTGAGTTGCCAAGATTCAGTGTTTTTATTGCATCATTTAAGTCATGTGACCAACATGCAGAGCATCACTTTATTTATAAATGCATCAATCTCCCTGCAGGGCGACAAGCGACCAGACATCAAAAGTCTTATCAGTCGAGTGAAGAGGGAACAGGAGCGGGAGCGGGCGATCGAGGGCAGCAAGCACAACGAAGCTGCCATAAAGCGCTTCCAACTACCGAAAACCTACATGCAGCTACAGGAGTTTGTTAAATGTGTTCAGGAGTCAGGAATGGTGAAAGACCAAGGAACCATTCACCGGCTGTTTGATGCTCTGACTGTTGGTAAGACCTGTGTGTGTGTGTGTGTGTGTGTGTGTGTGTGTGTGTGTGTGTGTGTGTGTGTGTGTGTGTGTGTGTGTGTGTGTGTGTGTGTGTGTGTGTGTGTGTGTGTGTGTGTGTGTGTGTGTGTGTGTGTGTGTGTGTGCGTGCGTGCGTGCGTGCGTGCGTGCGTGTGGTATAATTCTGTATTAAAATTCACAGTTCAGGTGGTTTTGGAGAGTTTCGTTCACAAACTCTAAGATGTTGGATTAACAGCCTCTCACACACACACACACACACACACAGATTTTCTTCCACCACTCCTTACTTTCTTCTGCCAAACATTTCTTCCCGGGGTTAATCATTGCCTCAGTCCTTCCAAAGGGGTTCTCATTCACCTCTGTAGACATAACAAAGAATCATTCATGCCAGCTCCGGGTTTAGTTTACAGGAAAACACACAAGGAAGGAATATTTATTTAGATTAAAGCAAAAAAGTAGGACGATGAACAACTCAACCTTCTTTTTTTTACTAAAATCTTGTTTTTAGCTTCAGGAATTAAGATTAGGGTGAGATCTTATCTTTCCTTGCTGATGGGAACAAAAAGCCTTTTCTGTCAGGCGGGTTGTCAGAACAATCAAGGTTTGCTTTTACACCTGAACCTGAGATGGATACAAAGATAGGGAGTGTTAAACCCAATCACTTCCTCCAGCGAGCAACAGCCTTTCCGTGCTGAGCCCTTATTTTTTTATCTCAATCTACTGTTGCATCTCAGTGGGGTTCATGTTGGGGGCGAGGTGGTGCACGGGTGTGGTGCTGCAGTGAAAACAGCCTCCAGCTGCTCCCTTTGCTGGCATGCACTGACCAGAGGTCTTTGTGTTAATCTGTGCTATTCAAACAAAAGTCTCTCAGAGTAAATTATCCTGAAAACTTGTTGAGTTTGTTTGTTGTTTCAGGTCATCAGAAGCAGGTTGGTCCAGATTTATTTCGGGTGTTTTACACCATCTGGAAGGAGACCGAGGCCGAAGCTCAAGAGGTTAATTGTTTATTTCTGAATCCTATTTAGCCTGATTGTGAGTTTGTGTTTTTTTTATTGAGTCACTGATGCAATGAACTCTGGTTAATCTCCAGGTTTGCTTGCCACCGTCGGTCGTGGAGCACATCGACGAATCGGAGTGCGTCTTTAAATTGTCGTCCTCGGTGAAGACCAGCCGAGGCGTGGGGAAGATCGCCATGACACAACGACGGCTTTTCCTGCTGACCGACGGACGACCAGGATACGTGGAGGTGGCACAGTACCGAGACTTGGAGGTGAGAGGAAATGGAAAACAAAATTCCACGTAGCCGTGACCGCTCGACAGATATATTAAAACACAACTCGTCTTCACGTGTTTCCTTCTAGGAAGTGAAGGTTTTCTCCGCTCCTTTCTTACTCCTGAGAATTCCCAGCTTGAAGCTTCGAGTTCATGGAAGGAAGGAGGCGTTTGAGGCAAATCTGAAAACAGAGACGGAGCTTTGGAACCTGATGGTTAAAGAAATGTGGGCCGGCCGAATAGTTGCTGACCGACACAAGGTGAGGCTGTGTGTGTGTGCGCGCGTGCGTGCCTGTGTGTGTGTGTGCGTGTGAGAGATTTATGCATGCTTGACTGTGAACGTCAGTGACCTTTGTGGGTGTGGTTAAATTCCATGCAGTGTGAACGATCAAAAATGTGCACGCTTGAGCTCAGACAGAAGGTTTCCTTTGTGAGACCAGAGGGCACATCTGTACTCTGCCTCACACACTTGTTCTTTTTTTACCTCCCTCCTGAGACCTGAGCCTTTTTTCGAGGGTGTGAAGTTTGTATTTCCTCTTTGCTGTTCGGTATAAGTAGGACCTCATAAAAGCCAGAAATTTAAAAACTGAAGAAAGTCTTTAAATAAATAACACTAAAGAGTTTCCTGCTTCTCCGCCCTGCTGGTTAAAAGTGGAATTACCACAGTTGTACACAATCCTGCTGCAGTGTAATGAATCAAAAGGGTCAGTTTTCACCATCGAATTGACACAGTAACCTTTCATACACGCCAGAGCTGCAAAGTCGAGGTTACACCAGCTGGAGGATCCAGACACACAAATCAACCTTTTGCTCACTTATTGTTCTTCAACACAGACATAAATAAACTGTCATGGTCTCCCACAAAAGCCCTTCTCTCTCTGCTGGACTGCTGGAATCCTCGCTCTGAAAAAAAGTGAACCTACATGAATCCTACAAGGCTTTATATAGCTTATAAGTTTTTTAACTTATAAGCTTTTTAACTTATAAGTTAAATTATCGTATGTGATGAATGAACAAGATGTTTAAATGAAATGTTTGAATAATTTGTGCTTAAATCAATGAAGTTTAAATGAATATTGTTTTTACAATGATCCATTGCAGATCTTACGATCAGTATGTGTTTGATTTAACAAGTTAATCATTCTTTACTCTCATACACTTTACAGTAAGATACATATTAATGTTAAAAACATTTTTGTATCTGAGGAGGACGTGGCTTTCTGAGGGATGTTGGTAAATACTCAGAAACGTGTCAAATTCTGATTGGCCAAACTGGGCCAGAAATCATAAGAAAGTAGTTGAATAAAACAAGAATTACTTCCTGAGTAATTCAGTTTCTAGCGGAGTTCCGAACCGGACAATTGGGCACAAGCATCCTTGAGACATCTCTTTTGACATACAGTCAAAACCTGTTTGCACGCTGCAAGCTGACACAGCCAGACGGCTCCCTAAGAGCCACATCCACTTTGGACGCAAACAAGCATTCCAGCTACTGTTGTGACCTGGAGACATCTCAAAACTCAACGGGTCGTATCGGATTTAATCTACGAAATCCTGGTGCCGTGAGATCCGCCCGACTTCTGACAGTCTGCTGGGGGTCTCCTCCTCCAGGGTTTGTAGACACAGCAGATTGCGTCTGATGCTGTTTTATTAATAATCAACTCTCTAGTTTATAGCAGACAGCAAATTCTTTTACACCCAGATTTCACAATTGTTTTCAGATACTAAGATTCTGATAAACATCTAGTTTCCATCACTGCATATCCACTCCATCACATCTCATTATTCATATCTTGTCATGTATAATCATTAGTTTAAAAAAGAATAAAATTCCTTTTTATCTAAATACCTGAATCTGTCTGAATTAATACGAAGTGTGTTTGTGGTCCCTGAACAAGTAAGAGTAACTATAATCTTATAATTAAACATTCAAAGATCAATCAGAGTAATATTTCATATTTATATAGAATCATCACATCTTATTGGTCATAATTAATTTGCAGTCGTCATGCTATTAAGTGTGATCGCTACAACAGCCTGCTGCAGCTAATGCTGACAACAAGCTAACTCTAACCAAAGACATTTATTACTAAAATAAACCTTAAGGTACAAAGATCCACACTGTTGAACAAAACAACAAAGCCAGATCATCATCAGTCCGCAATTTCATATCTTCCTTTAGCTCCCTCAGACAAGTCCCTGCCGATGTTCACGCCGGATTTAGCTCTTTGCTTCACCTCCAAAGACATCTCTCTTACTTTTACTTCCAGACTCCGCCATGATGCCAACAAAAAAAGCAAATGTCTTATTTTTCTCTTTCTTGTGCTTTTTAATGATGATCAGCCAACTGAAAAAGCTAACTGCTAGCCTTTATATAGCGACAGGAACAGTAAGTAGCTATAGTCGTAAAGCCAATAGAGACCTGCCCATCCCGGAAAACTGTTAAATGCTGCATCTGGTCAAGTCAGAAGTTTCTACCTCAAAAATTATTGAAACCATTTTGAAAGCTATAGGTTGGCGTGTTAACAACTTTTTAATGTAACTTTCTTTCTTAAGGAACACTAAAGTCCAGATTTTCTAAATATTAAAAACTGAATAAAATAATACATTACAGAACGCCTGCGCCCTCTTTAGAGGATTCAGGGTTCAGTAGTTTAACACAAATGTTGTCATTTGTTGTATTTATTGTCTGAGCAGAGCCTCCCTGAACCGTCTACAGGTGGTTCAGAACGCCTGTGCTCGGCTTCTGACCAAGTCCCCCAAACACACCCACATCACCCCGCTTCTCCTCCAGCTTCACTGGCTGCCAGTCAACGTCAGGGTTCATTTCAAGATCCTGGTTCTGGTCTATAGGACCTTACATGGACAAGCACCATCTTACATTGGTGATCTTCTTAGTACCTACACCCCCAGCAGGTCCCTGAGGTCCAGTGATCAAAGCCTACTGGTTGTGCAACGCACCAGGCTAAAGACCAAAGGTGACAGATAATTTACTGCTGTGGCCCCCAGACTCTGGACCTCTCTCCCCCTGAGCCTGAGATCAGTGGACTCAGTGGTCTCCTTTAAAAAGCAGCTGAAGACTCACTCGCTGGCTTTTGTATGACCTTCTTCACCACTCTCTCTTTATTCTGCTCTCCCCACCTATTCCACCTTCCTCAGGATCCACTGATTTCCCTCTTTCCTATTCACTCTCTCTCTTTCTTAACATTTTTTAATCACAATTGTCTATTTTTTGCTCATTTTAAATATATTTTTAAACATTTTCTAAATGCTTTTTTATATTTTTTACATTTTTTGTTTTTGTGAAGAGCCCTGTGATTTTTATCTTGAGAGGCGCTATAGAAATGATTTTTTTCTTCTTCCTCTTCTTCATTTCTCAGTTCCTCTTATTCTCTCTGCACTTTTAATCTAGTCTGAGCCGTAAAAACTGTCTTAGATGGAAGTTTTCCGAATCCTGAACTGTATTCTAGCTCTGATGTTTTATTTCCCTTCTAAGTACCTTTAGTAAATCCTAATTTTTACATTTCCTGCTGTGTTTTCGTCCATGTTTCATTGTTGGCATGTTTCTCTCCAGGACCCTCAGTACATGCAGCAGGCTCTGACCAACGCCTTGTTGATGGACGCCGTGGTGGGCAGCCTTCAGAGCAGCAAGGCCATCTACGCTGCCTCCAAACTGGCTCACTTTGACCGCATCAAGATGGATGGTAGGGAATGACTCGGGAAGATGTCACTCGGGTCATCATAACGTCTTGATTTTATGTAGGAACCTCCTCAGAGACGGTCCTGAGATTAATTTCTTGTAGTGTTTTGGAGGATTTTCTTTGAATATCATGATGTTAAAGTTTCTTCTTCTTCTACTTCGTGTGTCTGAAGTTCCTATGATGATTCCTAAAACAACAGCAGACACGCTGAAACATAAAATAAATGTTTCTGTGGAGCTGGCTGCACCTCAGGCTGTGGATGTACTGCTGTACACACCAGGTATGCACGCACACACACACACACACACACACACACACCTCCAGAATGTATCCTATAACCAAGCAGCGTTCTTATTACCACCATGATGACAGGTGTCAGGTTTCTCTACTCTCTGATTGGTCCGGGGGAATTCTGTGATTTGATTGGCTGTTAGAAGAAGCAGAACATTTTCACACCTGCTTAGTCAAACTTTAACTTGCAGGGAAAAAACACGTAAAGCTGAACATCAAACATAGCTTCCTCCTTTAGTGGAAAGTACGAGAGAAATTTAGAAATACCCTTCCTCGCGGTTACCGAAACACTGAGTCATAAACACGAAGGCGATGCCAGTGTCGGCATGAGCTGTGATGTTTTTTATTAGGAACTCAAACACTTAATCCACAGCTGTTAAACCTTAATCCTAAAGCTGCTGTTTTTTGTTGACTTTGAAATAATTTAAAAGCATGCTTTCACTTCGGTGGTGCATCTGGTGGAGCAGCTGGAAGCTTCCCAACAGCTGAAAACTGGGTACGTAAATTAAGTCCATCTCTGTGGAGGAGAAAAAATCAACTTTATTATTTAACAAGTAAAAGCAGATCAATTATTAGAACAGTTTCAAGTTGGTTCACAATAAAAACTGAAACTTTCTTATCATTTTATTCTGTTCCTTCCTTCATACAAGTGTTGAATTGCTTTTATTTTCGATTTTTCATCGTGTTTCACATTTCTCATGTACCGCGTTCAGCGCTGTGGGCTTCCCGACAGGGTCGCGGAAGGTGCTTTATAAATAAAGCTTTGATTGATTGATTGTCACATATTAATGGAGTGTTTAAAGGTGTGGTTTACTCATTTATTCAATACATTTGCAGTGTTCTCTGGTGTAGATCAGTGCCGTATGAATCATTAAAATAAAAAGCCATGATGATCCCGTTCTGAGATGCAGAAGTTTGCTGGTGGGTTCAAAGCAGCAGGATCAATCATTATTAATGAAATGCACACACCTTGCTTCTGATTGGGTAACAGAACGCGTTCAGCCATGATGCGAAGTCACTATCGACAAGACACACTCCGCTCTCTTTCCTCACTGCAATTTAAAAAAAAAAAAGCCTTCCTGTGGGCGAGCACGAGCCAAGATGGACGAGGCCATGAATGCAAATTCTCAGTGTGACATAGATATGTGAGGGTTTTCAAATCCTAGCATTTCACCGTCTTTTTTCAGAAGCCAACGCTGGACATCGGTGAAGGAGACTGTTTTATGTTCAGCCTGCATGAAAAACTCAAAGGGACCGATTAGAATCAGAAATAATATTTAAAAAAGTTGTTTTCAGTCATCTGCTAACAAACACACACACACACACACACACGGCTGTGTCTTACTTTCCACAACTAAAGTTATGTTTTGTTAGAATTTTGGTAAAAAGTACTAAAATGATATTTCTCCTGATCACATTTAAAGACCAAGTTCACAGTGGTTTCTAGTCTAAATGAACGCCTTGTGAGTCGAACTCTGTGTGTGTGTGTGTGTGTGTGTGTGTGTGTGTGTGTGGGGGGGGGGGGGGGTGAAAAAAGCTCTGGTACTCCTGTATCAGAAACTAGACGTGAGCCAGAGAAGAAGTGAGTTTCAGACGGCAGAATTTGGAGTCATATTTCCTGATATTTGGACATCTCTCCTCTGATTGGATAACCGCAACGTGACTATCACTGACTCCATTGATGTTTTATCTCCACAAATAACACAAGCCTGAAGGAGTTCTGCCGTGTGGTGGAGTTGCCAATGCTAACGGTTAGCTTCTACTTACCTAGCTTGCTCTGCTCTCTCGTCGTGAGCCAAGATGGGTGAGTCTGTGGATGCTAATTAGGAAATTTAACGTAAATCTGAGTGTCTTTTGTAATCCGAGCGTATCCCCGTCTATTTTCTATCAGAAGCTAATGCAGGAGATGCGTTCAACCTGCTTGTTAAAGTCAGAGCGATCTATCTTATTTAAAAAATAACAAGTGAAAAAGCGGTTTCTCAGTGAACTTTACCCTTTAAGCAAATGTGTGCTACACTTTATGTATAAGAGCTGAAGTCTTACCAGCCTTTGTGTGATTGCCTCTTTTTGGTGGCAGCAAAACCGGAAAAAGTCCAACAAAGCTGTGACCTTCAGTGTGAAACCATCTGGGGCCACTTTAAACATGCTGGGGCTGACTGAAACACACACACACACACACGCACACACACACACACGAGCAACACAGTTCTTCTGTATCCATCCTGTCTTTGGTGAAAATAACACATCTATTCATGCCTCTGGTTGGAATATAGGTCACTGAATTCACACACACACACACACACACACACACCACTCTGCCCTCTCTTTATACATCTCTCTCACTTTGCTTCTGTTTTGACATAAATCAGGATTCTACTTTTGTTCTAGTAAATTCCCACCAGCAGTGTTTCGATCCAACTAGACGTTGGAGTAAATGCGACCATTAGCTTGGGTGCGGTCCGAAATAAGAGTGTTTTCAGTGAAGTTACTGGATTGTTTCACATTTCCATAACAGTTTGTGATTTTTCCTGTTGACGATCACACGCCAGCAGATGGGAGTTTGGGATAAAATACTCAAACGCGATCAGTAAACGCCCCGTGTGTTTGTTTTGCTTCAGGTCAGCTGTGGGTGTCTGTGAGTGGGGGGAAGATGATGGTGTTTGATGCCTCCAGCTGGTCTCTCATACAAACCTGTCAAGTTGGGAATGCAAAACTGGTGAGAAAGAGATGCAAGAGTGGCAAGAAGACACGAGCGTTAAGTACTGAGCACTGACCGCTTCATTAGATTGTTTTCGATAAGAAAAGCCAGGAGGAGGTCAGTTTTTCCCCATGATTAACCAAACGGATCTATTTAAAGTCGCCTTTAGTCATCGCTGACGGTCTGTTAGTCCTGAACACAAAAGATCCCATCACAGTGTTGTGACTCTGTCCTGATTAGATTAAATTTGTGTCTAATCTATTAAGCACACCTGCTAATAGTTAGCATCAACAGTTACACACCAGATAAGTTCGTATTTTATAGAAAACTAAAAGGTTTTAGTGTTTAAAATGACACAACCCAGACAGATCCAGGAGATACTCTTCACACGCGCGTCTGACACAGAATTAGGTGATATTATTGTCAGAACTTCTGTTTCATAGTTTTGTTGACATATTTTAGCAAAAACAAACTTTAATGTTGGATTTGAGCACTCCTGCCACCTAGTGGAGAGGTTAGGTAGTGTTGTGTACAAGATTTCTGCTCATGACTTGGTTGGTTGTGTTTGCAGAACTGCATGCTGGGAGTAGACAAGGACCAGGTGTGGGTGGGCTCTGAGGACTGCGTTATCTACATCATCAGCATCGTGTCCATGGTGTGTAACCGACAGCTGACAGAACACAGGGCAGAGGTCACCGGATTGGCGCTGGACACTGACAAGATCAGGTAACACGCAGCAGCTCTCAGATCAGCTACAAAATCTAAAATCCACTCTGAATCTCACCGGAAATACTCCAAAATATCATGGATGCGTCATTAAAACCGTATATGTGACTCATCCCAAGCGTTGGAATAGATTTATTTGTTGTTTAAAATTCAGAAGTCCTCTTCAAACTGATGCTACAGATTGGACGCATAAATGTGCTCATTAGGTACTTACAGGTATATACATATATATATTATATATGTAAATGTGTGTGTGTACTATATATATATGTACTTTGTTACTTTTTAGAGTCTAGAGGTCATTTAGAAATGGAGGATATCTAACGTGTGTTGTGTCCTGCAGCCACAAGGTGGCGTACTCTTGCAGCGCTGAGGGGACCATTATAGTGTGGGACGTCTCGACTCTACAGGTCAGGTCACAACACAACTTTGTTTTCACTTACTGGCAACACGAGGCAGAAACATCCCAAAATGAGCTTCCTGGCTTTAGTACCGACTGGTGTTCCAACCCTCCAGGTGAGGAAGCAGTTCCGTCTGTCCTGTGATCGTCTGCTGTCCGTCCACAGCTGCAGCAAAACCCTCTGGTGTTGTGAGTTGCGCCTTTCGCTCAGAAGTTTTAAAAGGAGAAAGTTTTCTGATTCTGGGTACCTTTTTTTTTTCTTGCTCCTTTAAGGTTCCAGAGATAGTATAATGGAGGTATGGAGGAACGGTACTTTAAAACAGCGCACGAGCTTTCCAGAACATCAAAGAGTTACTTTAAGCTTCACGTTGCTCTTAGCTGAGGTAACAGGCAGTGTTTTTGTTTGTTTGTTTGTTTGTTTGCTCTCCCTGTGTTTGTGTGTAGAAGTGTGATTGTGTTTTATCTGTTTGTGTCAGCGGGAGGAGCTGTGGTGTGTGTTTGGAGACTCCACAGAGGTGTACATTTGGCACATTAAGGACACTGTCAGACTGTTCCACCGCATGGTGCTTCCAGACTGCATCGGCTGCTTCGGCATGATTAAAGTTAAAAACCAGGTTAAAACACAACAAGCACACTCAGTCTTCCAAATGTGGCGGCAGGGTGGAATCCAGCAGCGTTACCTGTTCACTCTCTCCAGGTGTGGGTCGGTGGGTTGAGCCTCAGCTCGACCAAAGGGAAGGTTTACGTCATCGACGCGGAGCGCTACGAGGTCCTGAAGGAGCTCCACGGTCACGGCGACAAGGTGACGGCACTGTGCTCCGCTGAAGATCGCTACGTCCTGAGTGGAGCCGGAAAACAGGACGGAAAAATCGCCATCTGGAAGGTGGATTAGAAAGACCTGGAATCAAGCACTTTAGGGTTCTGGATGACTCGACTGCTACATTAAGCTTGGTTTCAAGGTTAGAAATTATTTTTTAAAACAAGGTAAAATCCACGTGAAGGAATTTGTTTATATGAAGGAGCAGCCAGCGTGAAGCATTTCCTGCTTTCTTAGTCAAATGAAGGAATAAAAACAAGTGAAATACAAAATCTGAGCACGAATCCTGCTGAAGGTGTTCAAGCCAACGTGCCTCAGTCCTCTGAAGGCCATATTTGTAGGCCGTGTGCAATGTGGGAACGTTATGTGAGCGAGCTTCACCTCCAGCTGTGAGGTTGATATGAAAAACTAGTTCAGAGGAGTCAAACTACCAGGAAAACAGGAACGAGGCGGGAGGTTTCAGCAGCGTGGTGGGAATGCCGCAACAGGAATTTGTTTGGATGGAAGTTGGGCTTTGATTGTAACACTATGATACTTGGTGGTGGGAACTGGACTAGTGGAGCGGACGAGTATCAGAGGAAACGTGTCCAAAAGTCTGTCAATAGGGTCATTTCTTCGTTTCTACCGTTTGTTTCACTGGTTTAAAAAAAAATCTAAATTGTTAGATTTTAGGTGTCTTAAAGTTGAAAAAGAAAATGTTTCACATGTATTGATTTATATTTATATTCACTTGTGTTCTAACTTTGTCATTTTTACAGTGTTATTTGCATCAGTACTGAAAAAAGGAACAACTTTGTTGTGTTTTTTAGATTATTTCAAGAAAAAAGTATTTTTGATTAAACTCTTTTTAAACTATCAATATCAGTCCAAAGGTTCTCCTTTTTATCATTTTTGTTTAAATTCTGTACAGCACATACAAAAAAACATGTTTGTAAAATTATTACCAATAACTGAAATAGCTATTTATGATGTTTTTAGCAACAAAACTTTGCAAGACTTGGCATTAAACCATTAACACCGACTTTTAACCGACTGACAATATAAAGACTTGAGTGTGTTTTTGAATTTTTTTATATGTGAAAAATTCAGGTTGTTTTTCTACATGTCAAACTCTAAATTTGAAACCCTTTACTGGCATTAATGGTGACAAATGTGGATTATTTAAAAAATAATAGCACCCCAAGCTGGATGGAAACCTATAAAGTGCTAATTTTAGATGCACAAAATAACTCAATTTAATGGAGTTATATTTTGTAGTTGTGACTTTTCTTTGAGTTTGTCAGTAGAGGGCGCTGTTTGATTCCAAATCAGATGAAAACTTTGCTACTTGTCTAGTCCACAAGTGGCAGTACTCTCACAGATTTTATTTTTCACTATCAAATTTGTTTGCAAATAACTTTTTTTAAAACCACAATCTGTTTTTAAAAGTAGTAATTTCATGATCACATTTAAGCTAATTTTTTAAAACCCTTGTAACTGATCTGGCTGCAACTCAACAGATCATCGTACTCTGTGTCAAGCTGTTGGACTCCCTGCTCGGGGAGAACGGTGGAAGACAAAGCTAAAAAGGCAGTCCGCCCCGCTCAAGTGTCCTTGAGCAAAACACCGACTCCCTACAGGGGCGGCCCGATCCACGAAGAACCTCCCTGTGGAGTTGATGCAAGTGTTTTTCAACTCAAGGCCTCTGGTGTTTAGAATCGTCTTTGTTGTTGTAGAGCTGTGCGGCTGGGATGGAGATTGTTTTGTAACAGAAAAAAATGAGCAACTGGTAATCTCCCAGCATGCTCTCTGTCCCGGTGGCATGTATGCTGCCTCCTGCTGAGTTCTGTTAATGTAAAAAATTACCTACCATGTGATATTTTAAAAGCAATGCTATTCAGTGTTAATCGCTCATCCGGAGGAAGTGCAAGGTGATGGGCGACAGTGGGAAGGAATTACTCCGTAACAGAAAAAAAAACCTAATTCATCTAGAATCATTTGTTCTTGCTCAAAAGATGAGATTCATCTAAGCCAATTTTTTTTTGGTAATTAACGTAACAACGGATAGTTTTATAAACTTTAAGCTAGAGCTTTAACGTTTTAAGCTAGAGCTTTAACATTGATCTCAGTGATTGCTGAGTTAGAAACCTGACCAGTTTCATATTTGACACCATTCTGCAGCCCTCTGCTGACCAAAAACCACACTAGATAGTTTAGTGGGGTGGGTAGGTGTTCCAAGGGGCGCTCTTTACCTGCTTTAGGGCTGTTAGCTGTAATGCAAGCAGTTAGCATTTTCAGTTCGCCAATCGTCAAGAAAAAGCACAAGAAGAAGCTTATTCTGTTGGCATCATGGTGGAGCCTGGAATTAAAAGTAAGAGGTTAATGTCTTTGAAGGTGAAGCAAAGAGATCAAAAACCAGAGTGAGCATCGCAGCCTGCAATAGTCTGATGAAGATAAAGGAGGCTTCAAAATCACGGACTGATGGTGACCTGGCTTTGTTGCTACTAGACTTGTAAGTAATAATCTTTTTTTCCAACTGTGTGGATCTTTTTACTTTGTTGTTTATTTTAGTATTAGCTAACTGATGTTAGTGTTAGCTGTCTGTTAGCACTAGCTACAGCAGGCTGCTGCAGGTTGGTTTACGACGGTTGTAATTCCACTTTTAACCAGCAGTGCAGAGGAACAGGAAACTGCTCGGTGTAAGTTTAAAACGTTTTTAATAATTAAAATAAATATGAACACAAATTACATAGACTAAAAAAATACAGAGCTATTATCCAGGGGAACAGTGGAAGATTTGGAGAAAGTAAGGAAAAAGTCAGAAGAGGACTTTGCAAATAAAAAGAAGTAATGGATTTAAGCAAAAAACAATTTTGATGGTCAGGACAGCATTTCTGGGCCATCAAAAGCATCTGTGTGGTCTAGAAATAACAGTGAGCTCAAAACAATGTCTAATAGTAACTGTTATAAGTAAAATTGTATTTCTAGTACATCTCAAGACGTACAATGGTAAAGGGCTTCACAGAATATGAAAAGAAATACAAAGAAAAAGCTCTGTCCCCTTGAGTCTTTCTTTTAGTATTGGGCAGCGATTGACCGATGTGGGTTTTCTATTGCCAATAACTAGAGCTGATGCTGGCGATTTTTTAAGGCCTGTTATGGTAGATTGTCTCATTTGTCTGCTAAATTGTCTCTTATAACAGCGGGTGCACATTTCTTAACCTGACTTTTATTTAAACATTGAAATTAACCAACTCTTGTGCACTGCTCTATTAAAATCAAACATTTAACCAAAGTTAAGTAAACCAATAAACTGGCAAAGTATTAAATATAATTCAGGTAAATAAAAGGAAATTTCTCTAGAAAATAATGTTAGAGCGTTTAATAAGCTGATATTAGTCAAGAACGTAAAAATGATATTTAAATAAAACTCAGCAGCTGCCCACATATGTGCCTGTTATTGGCACCATTTTAGACATTGGTTCAAACCACAGACATCAGTAGTTGTCACATAGATGAATTGACACTGCCTATTGGAGCTGGTGTAGCAATGGGCTGCCATCTTGGATGGGTCTCCATCTGCCCCAGTGCATTTATTTCTGTGGAGGAAGGTGCTGCTTTACCCAACTAAAAAACACATTTTATTATGCTTTTTCACAAAATCATACATATGGTATGGCATTTTAATTAAAATATAAAAATAATTAAGCAAAATAAATGTAAATATAAAATCCCAACAGGTAGGCTAGAAAAGTCAGTAATAATCTCACGCAATCTGTTTCAATAGTACACCGGTTGTTGCAATCGTTGGCTGTACAAAAAACGGGCATAGTTGCTCACTCTGTGTTGACTCAGTTGGGTTTGAAGAGTGAGGAACCCATCCAATATGGCGGTGACACTGTTCTGCTTTCCAGTGCCCAATGGGGCATCCACATTTACATGTCTATATTTCATCAGATATAAAACAACTGTATATTTGTCAACCATGTAGATCGGTCTATCCCTAGTATGGGGTCTGGAAGCAGGCCACGGTCAGAGGATGTGAGGGCCCATTTGGGGGTAAAAGTTTGCAGCACACCACTAATGCACTCTGGTGTTTGTCGGTGCAGGGCTCTTCAAGTTAGGACCAGGATCTTGAAATGCAGACGATAGGCGGAAGAAACAAAAACAGTGATGAATGGGGGAAAAAAGTATTTTCTTGTATGTGGCAAATATGTAAATCTGTTACTTTTGCTGCCTCTTGGCCTGGACTCCCTTGAAAATGAGGTTTTTAATCTCAATGGGACTTTACTGGTTAAATAAAGAATAAATAAATATAATAGAATGTATGGTAATGTATGTTTTGTGCAAACCACCAAGCAACAATTCAAGATGGCAAGTTTCTGCTGCTGTTTTATGGGTTTGGATCCAAAAACGATGTGATTTTCTTGCACACATAAAAGTTGCTCAAATTTGAAATCATACCAATTCAAAACGAGTCATTTTGATAAAAACGCTTCCTGCTCGAGTATTTTTGACAGCCTGTCCCTTTAAATGAAGTGAGCCGCGGCCCTGCCTCTTTATGCAAATGCGCCGTGACGTTGACGGAAGCCAGCCGCTACGTCTCTTCTTCCGACAGATATTCGTTAAAGGCGTATTTAAAGCCCTGGCTTCGGTTGGAGCAGCAGTGGAGGATCTATGCAACAAAAACAAAGCTGCCGCAGAGCCGAGCGACAGTCCGAGCCCGGAGCGGACACGAACACGGAGCCAGCGGGTGATAGGACCCGGCGAGGTGAGCGCGGTGTCCGGGTGTAAAATAGCAGCCTCACCGGGAGATCGAGACGGACGGCTTTTAAACATTTGGCTCACACACACACACATACACACACACACACATACACACACAGCATCTCAGGTTGCTGCTGCAGAGAGGAGGTAGAGGGGGTGGTGTTACAGTAGTTTCTGCAGGCCTGCAAAAACAAAAAAAGAGAGGTGGAGGCAACTGGAGACAGGTCAGCCTGCGTCAATTAGAAAGTGCGCTTAATTAGAAATGAATACAGGATGACGTCACTATTCCTACTTTTATATTCACACCGGGGGAAGTTTTAGGAAAAATCGTTACTGTTTTGTTTCTATTGGGAATTTTAAACAGACAAAAGATATTTATTAAAAATATTTTTGAACTTCAACCATTAATTTTTTTTTCAAACGTTTTAGTCTTATTTTAAAACTCTGCTTTATTTCCCTTAAACGACACACTCTTGTTATATTTGTTTACGTCCAAATGTTCCTGCAAGGGAGAACGTATTGATTTAATGTACATTAAAAGCTGATAAAGTGCGTGTGTGTGTGTGTGTGTGTGTACAGTACACTGTGTGCTGATTTCTTTTAGAATTTAACTCTTTCGTGTGTGTGTGTGTGTGTGTGTGTGTGTGTGTGTGTGTGTGTGTGTGTGTGTGTGTGTGTGTGTGTGTGTTGTATTCAGACACAGGGCTTAAGATTGCTGCCTGGACCAAAGAAGGGCGTCTCAGAGACATTTATGAAGCTTTCACAGTCTATTGGTGAGTCTAAATCTGCACGTAAACATCCCAGCTGTCCGGATAAATAATGCAAATGCCCAGCAGCAAATGTTGGTTTCAGATTTTGTTTCAAACCACCAAACTGACCTGCTAACAAACACATCCCTGCTGTGGGGACTGGTGTGTCAGGCTCTTGTTTTCTTGGGTGATGCAGTTGAAGTTTCAGTTTTCACGCTGAGTAAGCAGCAGGTTCAGCTGAAGTGAAAGCAGTCGACTTCCTCCTGATGAAGTCTTTGCTGACGATCAGCCGCCGCTGAGTCAACATCCAGTGATGAAAACATGTTGCTGTGGCCAGACATGCATTGGTCACGAGCAGAGCGTCGTGTGAACTCGAATATGCTTCTATATATTTCCAGTGTGTGTAAGCAGACACACAAACTGACCTTTTATCAGTCACACGTACCAAAGTCTGTCACTTTTCCACACATAAACAAACTCTAAAGTGTTTAAATATCAACTTGAGTTGTAACGATTTATTATTATTTCTAGTAAAGTCGTAAAAAAAAAGCACATATCGAAGTTAAAAACTGACTAGTAGTTGTGTTGTTATTAATTTGGGCACAAATGCACACACAGACTTGTTGATAACAGCCAAAATTCAGCCTTTAATCTTAAATGGTGCTGAGTGGACTTTTTCTGTGAGTCCAGATCTGTTCACGTGAAAGAGATTTGAGTTTTAGCAAAAGCTGAGTCAGCATGCAGGTTCCTTTTTAGAACAAGCCCACAAACTGATCTTTGTTCTCATAAGAATCTAAACGTTGGTATAAAAAACTGTTAAGTAATGGAGTGAAAATGGGTTCACCTTTACAACTTTTCTATTAAGAACCAATAAAATGCTAAATATAAAAAATAAGTATCAAGGGAATTTATTATGACACCGAAACAAAGTTTGAATAATAGTAGTTCTAAATTATTTGCTATAAATATGTATGAATAAGCCGCATTTATTGAATTTAACATTTGGTGAACGTAAAGAAAATAGGAGATTTTTAACCACTTTTGGAAATAGCAACCAGAAATATCCGGAAAATATTCTAAATTTTTCTCTAGACGATAAATGTTTGATATTGTTAAAATTCTTCTGTATATTTAATATCTTTGGGATTTTTGACCGTAATGACCATCCGTTGGTAAGGTCTTACTCGAACACATAAATGTTGCTTGCTTGCAATGATTTAGGTACGAACTGCCCCCTATGGCCAGGGATAATACACGTCATCACTTTAAAAGACTGTGTTTTGATTTTATTTTATTTTTGGGGCCAAAAAATAATACAGCATTGAAATAAAACAAAGCACGTGTCTTTTTGATCACTTTAACTCTTGTGTTTTTCAAATGGATAGAAATTAACAGAAGCACCGCTATTTTTCACCGATCTGAATTCTTTTTTATTTCCTTAATAACATTAATGCAAAACAACTGCCTTTTTTTGCAAGAGATTTTCTTTTTCCATGTTAATAAATAATCATTTGGGATTGGGAGTTTTCACTTTCTTGTATTTGGGCGTCTGAGTAAAACAAGCTGGCTTTTGATGGAACTTTCTTCAGCTTCGGTTTAGAGATTCTAATGTAAATCCTGGAGAATTTTTTATTTTTCCAAAATGGAAAAACAGCAAAACAAGAGAACTTACGTTGTTTTTGCCTCCTCCTGTTTTGAGGAAGACAGTTTTGGCCTGACCAGCGTTGCTTTCAGGTCTGTTTATGTCACCATATTTTTGCGAAAGCATCTTCATTCCGAGTTTCTTTCCTCGCAAAAGGTTTTCATTTGTTTCTTTTTGAGCTTATGTCCAGTTTCACCGCTACTGACTAAGGAGGTGATTGCCCAATGACTAAATGAAGCCCCGCTTCTTAATTTAATTATCAGAAAGCTGCCCGGATGCCAAAGATGGCTGTGAGCGGCTCTGTCTTGGTGTAATGTATCTTAGCCCCCCGAAGGCACGTGCCACGCCCTCTTCTCAAACATTTATCTCTTGAGTGTTTGCTGTGTTGCCCCAGTCGAAGACATGTAATCTGAGATATTAAATCTATTTACTCAACACATGGATTCAGGAGGGAGAACAGTTCTCTAATATCAGAATTTCATAAACATGCTTGCTAACTTCAATGTCTTTCTCATTGTAAATCTGATCATAAAAAATGTAGTCTCATTTCTAAAATGCCCGCAGATGGCTTAAAATGTTCTCTATCAAAACAACAAAGCAGCAAAGAAACACATCTCCTTTCTTTGTGCCTGGTGAGGAGTTTTTCCACTTAAAAAAAATTCTCATACATGTACAGCTTACCAAACAGTGCAGTGATTGTCTGGCCTCTGGATGTAAACAGAGTCTCTACAGATGACACCATCTGAATGGTGCTGCACACTGAGAGGCTGTCTGTTGTGTTGGGAAAACGAGGAGAGGAGAGAAGTGGCTGTTTGCCAGTAACGTCATTAATGCTGTTACTAATACTGCACTCAGAGTACTTGCTCCATCTTGTGTTTTTCTTTTTACGAAAACGAAAGAGGAAGTGATGTCCTTTCTAACCATTTCTCGAATCGAAGCTGATCTGCTAGTTGTAACTATTTAGCTTTTAGCATCTTGGCTACATATTTTAGTAGGGCTAGGTGGTATTCCAGTATGACGTCTTGAAGGTCATACTGGAATACCAAGGAGCTGCCAAAGCAAAGAGATCGAAGAATTGCCACATTCTGTAATAGATGAACAGAGAATTGTTTCCACCCAGACCGTTTTAGACGTGACGCGTCTCAAGCCTGATCACTTCAGTGTATTTTAATAGAAAACCAGTAATGCTAAAGATGTTTACTTGGTGATGACTTTTTTCCCTCAGTCTGTTAACGTGATTTAACAGTGAGACGATTAAGCTAACTACTAGCTACAGAAATATGTTGGCGTTGCTGGGATGTTAGCATAAGACATTTATTTGTTAGCTACAGTTAAGGGGATTGCTCGAGACCGTTTTGCAAGCCCTTCTGTGCTGTATCTTTTAAGTCTATTGAGGTCTGCATGCTTGCCATGTTTTTAATACGTAATTCTTTTTTTAATGTTGGTAAAGGGAAGTATAACTTTGAAGCATGCCTCACACGGTTGTTAGACTGTGCAGCCTCTAGAGGGCAGTGCAGAGTTCAGCATCGCCCACTTGACCTGCTTGTTTCATCCAATATGTTCCCAACTGGTGTTTTCTGGCAGCACCACAGATAAGTTTGTAATCTAGACATTCACGAAGCCTCTTTTCCAAAAGTTCCCCCATTTTTAAAAACTTTTCTTCTTTGTCTCTTTTACTTTCTGCTTTATTTGTTGTTTACATGTGCAATTTCTCCATGAAATACACGTTTTTGTTCATGTGTTTAATATTGAGTATGAATGGACCTTAATCCTAAAATTCTCAGACATTGACTAGTTTGAGACACAAGTTGGACACTAGAGTAGAGATGGTGTGATGGAAAATCCATAGGAAATTCAGATCACTTGCAAATATTTGGAGATAATTTTCTAACTCCTTCACAAACTCCATTTTGCAATTTGTCAGCATTTGTCCCATGAGATACTTGCTTAAAGCAGAAATCTGGAGTTTGTTCTCAGAGGTCACCATCTAGAGGCAGAAAAATGTATTGCACTTTAAACCCCTCTCCCTACTTACGTGATTACGGCTGAAAGCAACACTTCTTTTTCATGAATGCGCACCTCTAGCAGGCCACCAGAGCTAAAACACATCGTTTTACAATTATTATTCTCCCAATATGCTGTTTACTCATTTATAAAAAAAAAGTTAGACTTACTTTTCTATAAGAAATGTTGTCAAATCTGCATAGATACTTCCACAAACACATGCTCGCTTTGTGACATCTGTACGTAGGCGAATGTCTAACCCATTGGCTAACGTTGAGCAGTGCTTTGTTTAATTGCATGGGGTCCTACAGGCAGGCTTAGCGAAAAAATATGTGTTGTTGCCTTCATTGTATCACAATACAAGGTAAGACTATGACATTTAGGTACCGTATTTCTCAGGGATGTGTATTTTTGAAATTCTGGCGATACGATACATATCACGATACAGGGGAGATGATACGATATATCACGATATATTGCGATACATGCAGTCAGACGTTACAATTTATTTTTTTTTCTATTTTTATTGAAAGAATGTTCAGTAAACAGTCCAAACTGATACGTAACATGTTTAACATGAGGTATCTGAACCATGATGGAAGGATTTACATTTCAATGGTGGAAACAAAACCCGTTGCACACTGCTGCCAACTAGCGGGTGGCGATTGAATTGCACAAAACGAAAAGAAAATACACAAATGTTTGCATGTAAATTCTTTCAAGATTTAGATACACGGCTTTTGAATATCGATGTAATAATCGCAGGAAAAATATCACGATATATTGCCATATCGATATTTTCTTACATCCCTAGTATTTCTATAAAATCCTCCATAATTCCTGAAAAGGGAGAAAACACCAGATTGTTTCTTTAAGAGCCACAGATGAACCTGAATCCTGATCCTATGACCATAACATACATGCTAAATGTACTTTTTTAAGCTGGTTGATTTGATCTCGTCCTCTTTAAGCAGAATCTTCAGGCGAACATAATGACATGTTGCAAGTTTTTAAATTAGTGGTGTTGACACAGCTCTTGGTTGGTGTTTAGTCACACTTTGGTCTCTGTGCCGCCAAAGTCACACCAGTCTTTATTCTTGTCTGACGGATAAGCAACATGTGAAAAGGGGAAGTAAAGGAATAAAGAAAATCTATGAAGTTTAATAATGATTTTCTGTAAAATAACTACAGTGGTTTTTTTAGGATTTATTTCTGTTTGTAATTAAAGTAGTCGATCTGGAAGATGCAGGTCAAACAGTTTGGCACGTTATCTTCTCGTGTTTTTTTATCAGCACTAAGCATGCTGTGTGAGAACCAGGAAGACTTGTGTGTTCATGTAGTGGAATATTCCATTAGATGAGTGCAACCTTCAGGTTTT